ATTAGGAATAACTATTCCATCAATAAAACTTTTACCCAAAGTTTCTTAAATTCATTCGTTACGTCATGTCCACTAGCTAATTGAATGTAGTCTTCTACCTTAATCTTATAGATAGAGTAACCCTTAAACGTTTTTATTTCTTTTAAAACACCTTCGGAAGTTAGAATGATATTGTATTTTAGTTTTGGCGCTAAATATAAACCAAATATGATTCCACCATCACCGTAATCATTCTTCCCTTTGCTATATTCGTTTTCAGACACCAACCCAGCTTCATTTAATTTATTCCAATTGCTAGACGAAATGTATAAACTATCGGTATCTGTATAGTATATTTCAGGCTTATAAAATCCATTTTTCACGTGAATGAAATTGTTCATTATTTTTTTACTGTGAGATAATATAAATGCACCTACATGAGTGGGTGTTAATCTAGTATAATCCTTTGGAGGAACAAACTCTTTTTCTTCTTCATTCATCTCAACTATATATTGACTATCATTTACTTTTTCATAGCTTTTGACGTGTGAATCGAAGTTGGCTTTAAAAGTCGCTTCACTCCATAGATGTCTCGATGTATTTATATCCTTCTGAATAGATTTACCGTATAAGGAATTACCTAATAATTTCATGCAATTACTAGCAACCATGTCTCCTTCTTTTTTTGTATTTATTCCTTAATTCCTTCAAAATTAAAATATAATCTCTGTATGGTGGAGTTTTAAAATTTTCTTCGTATACTATTCCATCTAATATTTTAATAATTTTACCACCGGATTTCACTATTTCTTGAATATCAACTGATGTTAAAACGTCGTGACAGAAACCATATCTGAACCTGATTTTACTCCCAGTTTCCTTCTTACCTATTCGTAAAAGTTATTTTATCTTTAGCTGGTATGGGTTGAAAGAACATGTTGGTAGGGTATTTAAACCCGACTTTTAAAATAGCAGTTCTATGTCTGAATTCCTGTTCATTAAAGAACTTGACAAATTTTTCATTTTCCTCTAGTCGGAAAGGTCTGGCACTTTGTGCTTTAGGATATTCACCTTCTGTCATGGCGGAAGCGTACAACCCATTAGCGTCAAATGCCATCAGTTTAGAATAGTCCAGTTCTTTGAGTTT